TTGTGTGTGCAAGTATATTTCTATGGATATGGGTGTGAGCTTTTATGACATTTCTGCGTGTGTTTGTTTATGTGATTCTGTGTCTGTGCGTGAGAGTGTGTGTGTGTGTGTGTGTGTGTGTGTGTGTGTGTGTGTGTGTGTGTGTGTGTGTGTGTGTGTGTGTGTGTGTGTGTGTGTGTGTGTGAATGTGTGTGTGTGTGTGTGAATGTGTGTGTGTGTGTGTGTGAATGTGTGTGTGTGTGTGTGTGAATGTGTGTGTGTGTGTGTGTGTGAATGTGTGTGTGTGTGCGTGTACGTGTACGTGTGCGTGTGCGTGTTTATGTGTCTATGTCTTTGTGTCCATCTGTCTGTCTTTGTATGTGTCAGTTTGTTTTGGAGTGTCTGTGTGTTTGTTTCTTACCTATAATTCTATAATTTTTCATAGTAGGAATTAATTGACAATTCTCCTTTTCAGGCTTATGTCATCTATGACTTGATCAAATATTGCCGACAAGTATGTTTGGAAATTTGTGAGCATTTGAATATTATGATGTTCACAATTGTTCCAAAATACCCTCAAACTAAAGCAACATCTTCCATGGAGAAAAATGGCAGCTCTAGCAAATATATGACTCGCAGTAAGAGCAAGGTCAAAAATAATTGAGAGTTGTTAAAGTAGTGATGTATGTAAACCATAAATAAAAAAAAAAAAAGCGATAAGGGTATTATAAATTGTTATGTAGGATAATGATTACCTTCATTATTATTATTATTATTATTTTTTTTTCCCCTTTTGTTACTCTTCTCATCATGGTTTTAATTTTTGAACAGTGTCCATGTTATGTCACCTAATGTGTGAGAAATATGTTGAACAGCAAACTGTGTGTGGGATTTGTAGACTGTTATATGTCACTGAGCACTTAGCTTTTGCCATGCAGAATTTTTAATACTGTTAACCACTAAGGAAAATACAACAGCAGATATGCATGTGAACCAGTTGCTTATTGTTAAATAAAACCCTAATTTCTCAGTCCCCCAGAGGCAGTGTGTTATTAGTCTATACTTGCTCTAATGTTGATGGTCATTGCTCCCTAGATCTCATTTAATGTATAATGGCAATAAATTTTATCCTGCATACAGAATTTTTGAAGTTCTGATATCATTCCAGTAATAAATAATCATTTGTAAATAATGTAATCTTATATTATAAAAGACATCTATTTGACCCTTTCATTTACTTTTTTTTTTTTTTTTTTTTTTTGCTTTTTTATTATTTTATTATTATTGTTATTAATATTATTATATTTTTTTATTATTTTTGTTAGGGGATCATTACATAGGTCAATAAAAAAAAATTTACTTACTCAAGAGCTGTATAACTATAGTACCAAGTTATACTAATTTGGTGGCAAGACAGGGTAATACACAATGGGCATTTTCACAGTAGACAGTCAGGTTCATCAATAATCATAATCACGTCAGATTATTCCCTAAAACTTAATTTCCTATACATTTATATCCATAAAATACACAGGATTTAGAGATTTAGGTTGTCAGCCAATGCGTAAATTTAATGTCACAATTCAGCTTCATTAGTGGCATATATATATGTATATTATTTTCCTCAGACAGATAACAATTTCATGTTCTCGTCCCACTGATATTACGGATGTATTAAATAAGTGACAAAGAGAAGTTCATTTCAGTCATTTTACTGCTCTGTTAATTTTAAGCATGGAGGCATACAGATATTTTTATTTTCTACAGCTTTAACGAAAAATTTATTTAATGTATACTCACTCTCTTATAAGGATAAATATCTTTTATTTATTTCCTAACTTCTTGTCTTTCCACTCTTTGTCACCTGCTGCTCTCGAACAATCTGTCGTCATGTTGCAAATAGCTGCATAATCATTCTCCGGTTCTTCCAATTATTTTGTGCTTTTCGAAGAGGATATTTTGCGTCGAGGATGAGAAATAGTCATACAGTATCTCCTAACGAATGGCAGGTGACAGGATTGCGATTGCTAAAAGGAAGTCTGTGTGTTCAGGTAATTTAGAGAGCATTGCAGGACAATGGTGCCACTTTAAATTTTTTTTTTTTTTCTTTTTTTGTTTCCCCAAAACCCAACCCAACCTAACCCAGTATCACCTACCCTTTTTTCTCAGTATATTTTGATGGCATATCTTTTCATTTTATTTTTCTCTAACATACTTTATATTATTATATAGTTTGGTTTCCCTTTTTTTTTTTTAACCTGGTAAATTGACTCCAAAAGGTTATGATTGTACTTTATGTTGAGCATTTTCTAATCACAGAAATATGATATGTCTGAAATGCTTTATCTATTTTGAAATGATGTTTGTAGACTTTCCTGTCCCTGAAACAGACAAACCAAAAAGTGCTGTATTGGCAACATCTGTCCATAATTGTTATTTGAATTTTTTTCTGTGCTGGTTTCAGTGATATAATGGTGCTTTTTGTCAGGATTAGAGATTCAGTGAAATGAATATCTTAAAA